GTCTGTCGTGGATGATTTCATAGGCAGAGCCATGGCTGGTTTGCAAATGATGTTGCTACAAATCCATTGTCTATTCGACAGAATCATTTCATGTGCACGCTCAATGTTATCATCAGCCATGGATGTGAACAGGTGTTTTAATATAACTGGAGTGGGAGTGCAGATAATTTTTTAAAAATAAGTTTTAAAGTTTTTATCATGATAGATAATTTGTGACTCACCCTCTTACACACACTTCAACAATTTAAAAGAAAGACAAATATAATCCAATCATGAAATGGACAAAGTACTTAGACATTACACCAAATAGGACATTCAAAGGCCACCAAGCACATGAAAAGAAGCTCAGTGTTATTAGCTATCAGATATATAAATCAAAATCACAATGAGATACCATTTCACACCCACTAGGATGGCTAAAATTAATACAAAACAAATGTTAGTTAGGGTCTCTCTCTGGTCCTCAGCCCCTTGGCCTGACCTCTCCCCTGCTCTGGCAATGTTAGACAAAGCTCTTTCAGGGCTGCTGATAAATGCTCACAGGACACACCACTCTACCATAAGCCTCAATCTGAAGGTACTTGGCTCTAACTCCGTTAGCTAGAAAATTTAGCACCCTAATTAAGTACCTAGAGGCACCCGACTCCACAAGTGAGCCTCCTGCCCAGTCCTTCAGCTTTACTTGCTCTGTGGGCTGGAAAGTCCACTGCTGTCTCGAGCTTGGGCTTCTGGTTCTTCTTCTGATGCTCCTCTGCCATTCCTCTGGTGTCACAGCTTTCTGTCCCTGGGTCAAGGAGATTCAGGGTATAGGGAAATTAAGGTCCAAAGGATGCTTTCCAATCTTAGTTCTTCTTCCTTGATGGTAGTGAGATTCCCCCATTCCTTTTTCTGAGATGCTTCATTAGAGTTTCAACATTTTACCATCAGTTAACTCTGTTAACATCCATATCATCGTACCAGTCAGTATCTTCTTACCCAGACTCATTATTAGTGGTTACCAGGGGTAAAAGGAAGTGGAGAAAGAGGAGTTATTGCTTACGGAGCATTATTTCAGTTTATGGTGGTAGAAAAATGCCTTTGTTAAAGGTGGTCTCCATAGCTGATTGTTGTAATTGCTGTCAATAAGTTGTACATCTATAAAAAGTAGAATTGGCAAAAAATGTGGAATAAACAATCATACACACACACAAAGTAGCTGCTGAGGCTGCTTATGTATAACCAAACACCTTATGGATTTGGTTCCTTGATTTGGAGGTTTAGGACCATGGTTGACCAAATTGTGTTTAGTGCTTTTGTTCTACGTCCAAGTTTGTTGCATAGTCTTAAAAGCCTAAGATCGGCCATCCAAGATACAGCAATTAGATTCTATTCACCAGGAGCATCAGAGGAAGGTCAGGAATAAGTGAGAATGGAATATATGGCTAATTGTCTCCATGAATAACTGTCTCTTTTGCCGTGAGGCCCAAGGAACTGGATGGGCCCTGCTACCATTACTATTTTGATAAAAGATTCTATAGGATAATCCTGATCCAATGGGGGTTAAGTGAAGATTAGAACTTCAAATGCACATGGACCGCAGTCTTCCTAGAGCCATGGAGGCTGGATGAACTTCTGAAACCATTGCTCTGAGATCATCTTTAAACCTTAAAACAAAATTATCCCTGAAGTCTTAAAACCAAACAGTGATTTTCTTAACTAGTTAAGAATGTCTGCCTCGAGCATTATCCTCTTTTAAGAACTTTCCATCTGAGATCAAACTGACAACTTGAAACACTATGAACCATTTATTAATGGTGTGGCACTGTGGGAGAAAGCACTACACTGCAAGGTTGGTTTGAACCGCAAGTACAGAAGTTCATACTCACTAGCCGCTCCTCAGAAACCCTATACAGTGTTGCTATGAGTCAGAATTGACTCAGCAGCACTTAACATTTATTAATGGAGGCAGTGAGTTTATTTAATAGGGACAACTCAAAAAAAGGAGGGTGACAATGATATACCACTCAAAGAATTAAATCAAGTCACTGAGTTGTGCATGCAGAAACTGTTGAATTGATATGTGTGCATTCGCAACAATAAATAAAATGGAAAAAAGTTAAAAGGCAAGTTAAATTTCTTGGGTAGTACAAATGGTTAAGACACCATTAAAAATTTGATGGAGCACAGCTCTATTCTAACACACATGGTGTCACCCTAAGATGAAGTTGACTTGATAGCAACTGCTTTTTTTGTTGTTGAAACTCCTCACCCCCCCACCCCCACCCCACCCCCCGAGACCTAGTCAAGACTGTGGGCACAAGGAAGGTGGTCAGTGAGACACATAATTGCTAGTTCATGGGAACACATGGCATGCTCTTCCTTTCTCATTCCTGTTCCAGGGCCGGGTTCTTAGGCAAGTCAAGTGAAGCAGTGGTGGAGATTTGGCTCTGGAGTGACACAGTCATCTGAATTTCAGATTTTGTCTCTGCAACTTATTAAGTATGACCTTGGACTAGTTATTCAGCCTCGAGGTAAGTAGATGAGCCTACATTTTCTGATATTACAGTATGGAAATATTGTGAGTTAAATAAACAAAAGCAAACACTTTTTGATACAGGGCTTGGTGAAAAGTAGGGATTCTAAGGAGATACCTGTTTTTCTGAATGACTTTATTTAAATACCTTTATTTACAGGTTGCGGGGCACTGGTGGTTCTGTGGTAGAATTCTCACCTTTACAACTCAGCTAAAATGTACTCTTTCACTGAATTTGTATTTGTAAAGCATACCCAAGGATTTAGTGCTAGGCATTAGGCAGATTACAGCCTCTCATCATCCCTCAACTCCCTTCATTTGCGTGCAGTGAAAGGCTGTGGTTCAATTCTCATCAGGGTACCTCATGCACAACCACCAACTGGCTGTAGGAAGAATGGCCTGGGGACACACATATGAAAGTCAGCCTGATCTACAAGGGGATGATGCAGGGTCAGGCAGTGTTGCCCTGTGTTTAGGGTTGCTGTGGGTTGGCTTTTTGGCCACTAACATTTCAAGGTTATCCAAATGTCCAGTCTTTTGCTTTTTGTTTGATATGAAACCTCTCAAATTCAGGCACTAGTTCTTGAGTTCTTCAATTGTTTAATTTTATTTTAAACCAAGCATTGACCCATGGAGTCGGTTCCAGCTCATAGTGACCCTGTACAGGGTTTCCAAGGCTGTGAATCTTTACAGGAGCAGAGAACCTCATCGTTCTCCCGCGGAATGGTTGGTATTTTCATACTGCTGACCTCGAGGTTAGCAAGCAACCTGACTTGTAATCACTATGCTACCAGAGGTCCTGATTGACCCTGCTAGGTCTGGGGAATAGAGAAACAAGATCTATTCTCCATAGGTGGGGGAAGCAGATGGTACAAATGGCTAGGGCCATGAATGAGGTAATCACTGTCTCTGGGAGTAAAAGTGGGTGGAAAAGGCTGTCATAAGCCTTGAAGGACAAGCTAACCAGTCCAGAAATAGGTAAGAGACCCAGGTAGAACAGAAGACTTGTGCATTTACTGGAGGCTAAAACTTCCATATTGGCAAGAAGTGGTATGTAGCGGATTTGGGGTAGGATGATGATGATCTAACTATGAATCCAGCAGGTAGTGGAGTTCAGAGGTTGAGCTGACTGGTGATCTGGACGTCTTCAGTATTATGTGGCAGTTTAGTCATCGGCCACAGTTCTGTAGGTGGAAAAATAAGCAAGCAAACAAGGGGAGTTGAGGGATGGTGAGAGACCGTAATCTGCCTAATACCTAGCACTAAATCCATGGATACGCTTTACAAATACCTTTTCAGTGACAGAGTACGTTTGAGCTGAGTTGTAAAGGTGGTTGGTTCTATCATCAGTCTAAACTTTCAATCCATGGTTCTTAAAAAGTTTATTCAAGGATACTACCAATTTTTCCAGGAAGAGAGTCAGGAAGGGAATGTAAGATTCTTTGGAGATGAAATGAGATCTGTGAAGTGGGAGTTCTACTCTTCATCCAACCTCAGCAGTCTGGTGTTGCTTTAAACATCATGAACTGCAATCAAACTGATACTTAAAAAAAAGGAATTTATGATAACTTGTATTAAAGATGTCTGAGTGTTAGTTCATGTAAACCACAGACCATTATAATTTTAGATACCATAAAAGTTCAAAAAGATGATGGAAAATGGAATGGAAAAACACTAAAATTTTCCCATGGACTTCTGGAAGCCCCCTTTTATAATTTTTAAAGTGCGCCGCATTTTCTAACCCTAAATTTGTAACCAAGGCATACATTTCAGGTAATCAGACTGCCAGCTTATTATTCCATGATTCTTGGGACCAACTATCCATCCTCAAACTTCAACCAGTTTCCACTGCAATGAAGTAACATGAAATTATCAGCTGAAAGGTTTATAGTTAGAGCATCAATGCAACTGAAAGAGGAAGTTGAATGTTGGCCATGATGAAATTAAATAAGCACTTTCCTCCCGAGTAAGCCAGAAAAGGACTCAGCAGTGACTAAGTTAGGTCCCATGAGTACAGTAGTAAAATTTAAAATGAGATTTAGCTTGTAGAATAATAAGATGTTTCCACCTCAGCCTTGTATGACTCAGGCCTTTCTCTCCACACCCCACACCCCCAAATTTTCAGTCAATGTATCCAATAACCAGGTTACCACATTAGACAATAATGTGGGCAGAAATATAAAGTATCATAAATACAAATATATTGTGATTTATAGTTGTTTATTAGCTAGTTTAGTAAAGCTTTACAGTGAAAATAATGTTAGAAACAGCTTTTTAAAAGCTTTTTTATATGCTTACAAAGTGACAGACACTGGGGAAAACATCCTAGACTGTGACAATCCCAGGAGGAAGTGCCCTTGCAGTGTGATGAGACACTGCAGACAGGCCGAGTGGGTAAAGCCAGGCTAGCTTCTTGAAAGCCTACTGTGAAACCACCAGGGTAGCTTCAAAACATCATTGGTCTGAAGTTCAATAGCACAAAAATTCCAATTCATCAGCTACTTTACAGTTTCAGAGAAGAATTCCTTTGGCTACAAGGACTCTCAATCCTGGACCACCTGCCCTTTTTGATGCCTCTTTACTCTTGAGTAGGGACTTATTGTATCATCCATCACAAAATCATATAGTACTTTTGTCCAGGAATTATAGTGGGGTAGGTTGTCATAGTATTCAGCAGCAATCTTCCTTACCTAGAAAGGAAAAATTACAGCAAGATGAATACAGGTACTACCAGGTCTTGTTCAAGATTATAGAGAATGTTACCCTGAAAATACTTAAAAAGGGAGCCTAGGAAATCTTTTATCCTACTCCTGTAAAAGGTGGGATGGGGATACTTTCAGGATTCTAAACAAAATGTCTGCATTTCAACAGTTAAATACAAATGACCTCCCACCATTACTGACTCTCTCCAATCAAGCTTTGAGGGACAAATGTCTGGTTTATTTGTAAAATGTGACACTTGGATTCTTTAATGAGTACATGCAACTGTATTAATTTAGCATTTTAAAGCACATACCATGTGAGTGACGAAGCCCTAGTAGACTAGTGGGTTATGAGCTAGGCTGCTAACTACAAGGTCAGTAGTTCAAATCTACAAGCTACTCCATGGGAGAAAGCTGAGGCTTTCTGTTCCCATAAAAATTTACAGTCTCAGAAGCCCTATACGGGGTCACTATGAGTCAGAACTGACTCCGTGGTATGCCGCCACCACCACCACTATGTGGCATTGTAGGGTATGAAGATAACACCTGACCCCCACCTGTAAAGGGCTTGCAAATACTGAATTCTTGTGAAATGTGCTTATCAAGCATACAAGTCTGCCATCCAAAGGGGCAGTACCTTGGACCCCAGACCTTCAAAATTCTTACAGAAGAAGGATCTAGAGGTCACACAGTACCAATGCCCTACAAGTGCAGCACTGCCCATCTGTCAGTGGAGGCATGCGAGCTGCTCTGATGCTGAGCAGGTTTCAGAGGAGCTTCCCGACTAAGACAGACTAGGAAGAATGATCTGGTGATCTATTTCCCATACCAACCAATGAACACTTTATGGAAAGGCCCAATCTTGCTGTGTACAGGGTCTCTAAGAGGAAGGGGCTCAACAACAGCTAACAGAACACAGACCACACATGCCCACACTGAATTTACAACACCAAAGCCAGTAGCAGTCTATTTATCTAACAGCCAGAGCAAAGACAGGGGCAATTTAGGTCCTGAATAAGCATTTGGAGTCAAAATACTCCTTATGTCTAAAAATACAAGGTATATCATAGTGTAAAAACAAGCTAAACTTGATAATTTATGAGCTTTTTTAAAGACCTAAGGCCAAAAATCAACAAAGGCCCTAAAACTAGAAATTAGAAAACCTGGGGAGACGTGTCCAGTTGGATTGAAATACTGACATTTAATAATAAGTACCTAGATGTCTTGCTGGGAGCACTATGGCTCCACAGGATAAGCACCGACAGTGAATCACAAGGATGGCGGTTCAAACCCACCAGTTACTCCATGGGAGAAAGTTGAATTTTCTGCACCCGCAAAAGATTTAAAGCCTCAGATAATTTTATATAGGGTTGCTATTAGGTGAAACAGATCCCAGAGTTCTTACAACAAGATGTCTTGCTATCTACTTTAAGTTATCTACTTACTTTTCTATTTGTGAGCAAATAGAAAAATATACTCAAAAGTGTTTTGTAGGGAGAAAGATGATGTTTTCTGCTCTTGCAAAGATTTAAAGCCTTAGAAACCCTATACAGGGCCACTATGAGCCAGAAACGATTTGGCAGCATTTAACAATAACAATGACAAAGTGTTTTGTGAATAGCAAAGCAAAAAGTAAGGTATTAAATTTAAAATGATGAAAATGTTCTAAAATTGACTGTGGTAGCAGTTGGTTGTTCAACCCCGTGGATATACCAAAAACCACTGAGTTATATCTTGTTATATCTATTAGCTAACTTAGTCCCAAGTATGTATCAATGAAAACAGAACAGGACTCTCCTTGGTACTCTGTAGAAAAGACAGGTCAGGGATTGCTATCTACAGACAGAATGTTGTGAGTAGGCAAAGGAGTAAAACCAGATGGGATGAAATAGGTAATAAACTGTCATTGATGCACCACGACCCTGAAGTCAGTAATGTCCAAACTGAATGACGTTTCTGTTCTGGTGCAGTTCAAAGGAAATTACATGTGGCTCATGTTGGAGACAATTATTTTGCTCAAAGGGTGATTGACTTGGTCTTTACACTTTCTCCAAAATCCTTTAAAAATAAAAACAAAAATTCACTCCCCTGTTTAGAAGAAGGCAAACAAAGGTTGCACATTTGCCATTCACTCTTGACACTTACAGGCTGACCTAGAGTAGCTATATGCTAGCTTCCCAATACATTTAATTTGGAAAATTTTAAACCTACAGAAAAGTCAAAAGAATAGTAAAAGGAATATCCGTAAGTCCTTCACCTAGGCTCATCATTTAATAACACTACATCACAGTCTCCCTGTCTCTATACATACACCCAGTTTTCTTTGCTGATTTTTTAAAAAGTGAATTGTGGACATTATATGACAATATTTCACCTCTAAATATTTCAACATGTACCTGACACAATGTTATATAATCTAAAACCATTTAAAACCATCTCCATTGCACCTCTTCTGTCCTCATTTAAAGAGTCAATCAAGAAGCATGTGATATTTGGTTGTCATGTTGTGTATCGAGTTTTTAAACGGCCACCACTTAAAACCTAAGAGGAAGCCTACCAAAGTTAATTGGGTGGGTGTGGCAACATAAAAACAATATACTATGGTTCCCTTGTATTTAAAAAATACTAATATTATATTTTATAGTCTATTACCCTTCTTTAGAATTATGGAAACAATTTTTTTTTAAATAATAGAACTGCAAAAGCTGCCCATTTCAAGGATGGGTAGGCTCCTGAGAGAATTCACTGGGAAGATAAAAAGCTAGGAAAGTGGTCATTTTAGAAAGGATGAGGATCAAAATGTCTTCTTTCATTTATTCCACAAAGGGTGTACGAAATGTCTACTGTCAAGGGAAACAAACATTAATTACCCCTGCTGCTCTCGACAAGTTTTGTAGTATTGGAAATTGATGTTCATTTATTTTTAAGCCGATGAATTACATGGCATGTCTGTGTTTTTAAATAAACCACAATATAAGGCTTGGTTAAGCCTTTTTAGTTTACTGGTGATGTAGGCTACCAAAGCTTTTGCTTATTTCAGAGGGATTTCATTTTCTGTTCTGAATTGCTTCACAAATCAGCAGATTCTACAGCTCCTTCAACGTTTTAAAAGCCTAAGTGGTTTTAACCACTAGGCCCAGGGACCCAAGAGAGGAAACCCTTTGCAAAATTAAATTGAGAAACTCAGGATCCACTCTTATGATTCTCTTGATGAGCAACCTAGACAAGACATACTACATTCCTTTTAAAATAAGCAAGTCAAGCCCAATTTTAATTATAAAACCATCAGAAGTTAGAATAATATATTAATTCTTTACTTACCAGTGGAAGGCTTTTGCCAGGAATGTTGGGGAAGTCATGATGTTCGTTATGATAACCCACATTAAAAGTGATTAAATTCAGAGGCCCATAATATGAGTAAGTTTCATGTCCCTTTAAGAACATGTAATGTTCAGCTATAAAATGTCCAGAAATTGGGTGCAAACCCAGACCAAGTAAGGATGCTGCCAACATGTAGACCAAAGATTTAATTCCCAAAAAGTAGTAAACTGTAATATTAAAACAAATCTGGAGAACAGTATTGATCATCTCCAGATAGGAAATTGGTTTGGGGTTGATGAATACAGGTCGAAAAGCATAAAAGAGAGGCTGAAGAATAACCCATACAAGCTTTCTGAAGGTGGTACAGAAAAACCAGCCCTCAAAATCGGTAGGTATATCCACATCGATGCCATCACCTCCGAGGTACCGATGGTGATCCATGTGATACCTCTTGAAAGAAATGGAATACGGAACACCAATAGGAAAATTGGCAAACATTCCAAACCAGCGATTCCACATAGCTTTGCAGTTGCCAAAGGCACTATTGTGGGAAATCTCATGAATTGCCAGAGTCATTGAGTGATTAATGCAGCTGCCAAATGTATACGCCCAAAATATGACCCACTTCCAGTCCAAGTCTTTGACTAAATAAAATGCAATCAACTGGATGAAGACCATCATAGCTGTAATCCATATCAGGTTGGAATCAGGCTTCATCAAGGATTTTATCTCTGGGTACTTTGCTGTAAAGAAAAAGATAAGCAAATCAGGAACTGAGAAAATTACATACTATTTCAGCAATTCTCATTAAGGTAACATTTAAATGTTATTAATTTCCTGTTCCACATTATTATAATCTACCGATTAGAGATGTTATCACTTATTTATCTGCTAAGCAAAGGAATGTAGTTTTGTAGCAAAGTTACTAATACCATATAACACTGAGAATTTATGTAAGAAAAATTAGCCTCAAACTCTAGAATTTCCTTATTAACAGGATGGGCAAATTGACCAAAAAAAGAGTCAAGATTTCACCCTCTCCAATTCCTTTTATGTGTGTGGTAGATTTTTTAAAATTCTAGAGAAGATGGACACAACAAAACATACACCAATTCAAAATTTCTACATTTATGATTCAGTGACAGTGATTACATTCTACAAATGATATAACTATTCTCTAGATCCTTTTCTAAGTTATTCCTTTGGACCCCTAACAAAATACTATTATATTACATCTATATATTTACAATGTTACAATCCCACCACTCGTCTGTCAGTTTGTTGTGATAGCATTCTGCAAGACCAATGCCTTGTTCATTGCAAATACCTTTTTTAAACAACATAAAAGACAAAAATACACATGGGCCTCACTATATGGAATACACAGAAATCAAACTGGCTACATCTGTGGAAAGACATGGTGGAAAGCTCCATATCGTCAGTCAAAACAGGCCAGGGGCAGACTGTGAAACAGACCATTAATTGTTCATACCCAAGTTCAGGCTGAAACTGAAGAAAATTAAAACAAGTCCCCAAGAGCCAAAATATGACCTTGAATATATCCCACCTGAATTTAGAGATCATCTGAAGAACAGATTTGATGCATTAGACACTAAAGACCAAAGACCACATGAGTTGTGGGATGGCGTGAAGAGCGTCATACAGAATGAAAGCAAAAGGTCATTAAGAAAATAAGAGAGAAGGAAAAGACCGAAATGGGTATCAGAAGAGACTCTAAAACTTGCTGCAATTACAGATGCTAAAGCAAATGTAAGAAGCTAGGAGGTACAAGAGCTAAGTAGAGAATTTCAAAGGTCAGCTTGAAAGACAAAGTCAAGTATTGTAACAATATGTGCAAAGACCCGGCGTTAGGAAACCAAAAGGGAAGAACATGTTCAGCATTTCTCAAGCTAGAGAACTGAAGGAAAAATTCAAGCCTCAACTTGGGGTATTGAGGGACTCTATGGGCAAAATAGGAGCTCTGGTAGCGTAGTGGTTACGAATCGGGCTGCGAACAGCAAGGTCAGCAGTTCGAAACTACCTGCTGTTCCGCGGGAGAAAGATGAGGCTTTCTGCTCCCGTAAAGATTTACAGCCTGGGAAACCCTGTACAGGGTCGCTATGAGTCGGAACCAACTCCACGGCACATAACAAAAACAACATGGGCAAAATACTAAATGATGCAGAAAGCATCAAAAGAAGATACAAGGAATATACATAGTCACTGTAAAAAAAAAAAGTGGTCGATGTTCAACCATTTCAAGAGGTAGCATATGATTAAGAGAAGAAAGAAGTCCAAGGTGCATTGAAGGAATTGGCAAAGAACAAAGCACTGGTAATAGATGGAATACAAACTGAATCTTTCAACAAACTGATGCAGCACTGGAGGCACTCATTCATCTATGTCAAGCAATTTGGAAGACAACTACCTGGCAACTGACTAGAAAAGATCTGTATTTGTGCCCATTCCCAAGAGAGACGATCCAACAGAATGTGGAAATCACCGGACAGTATCAATGATATCCCATGTGAGTCAAGTTTTACCAAAGATAATACAAAAACAGCTGCAACCATACATTGACAGAGAACTTCCAGAGGTTCAAGCCAGATTCAGAAGAGGGCATGGAATAAGGGTTATTATTGTTGATGTCAAAAGGATCTTGGTTGAAAGTAGAGAATACCAGAAAGATATTTTCCTTTACTGACTATGCAAAGGCTTTCAATTGTATAGATCATGACAACCTATGGACAACATTGCGGAGAATGCGTATTCTGGAATACTTAATTGTTCTCATGAGGAACCTGTACATGGACCAAGGGGCAGTTGTTCGAAAAGAACATGGGAACACTGTATAGTTTAAAATTAGGAAAGGTGTGCACCAGGGTTGTAGAATTCACCATACTTGTCCAATGTGTACACTGAGCAAATAATTCAATTATTTGAAGAAGAATGTGGCATCAGGATTGGAGGAAGACTCATTAACAACCTTGTACATACAGATGATATAACTTTACTTGCTGAAAGCAAAGAGGACTTAAAATACTTACTGGTGTAGATGAAAGATCACAGCCTTAGATATGGTTTGCATCTCAATGGAAAGAAAACAAAAATCCTCACCACTTGACCAATAAATAGCATCACGATAAATGGCAAAAAGACTGAAGTGGTCAAAAGACTTCATTTTATTTGGATTGACCATTGACACTCATGGAAGCAGCAGTCAAGAAATCAAACGACATATTGCATTGGGAAAATCTGCTGCAGAAGTCCTCTTTAAAGTGTTGAAGAGCAACCCAAGCCATGGTATGTTTCATAACCGCATATGCATGCAAAAGTTGGTGACTGCATAAGAAAGACCGTAGAAGAACTGATGTATTTGAGCTATGGTGGTGGTGGAGAATATTAAAAGTACCATAGATTGCCCAAAGAACAAACCACTCTGTGTTGGGAGAAGTAGTCAGATTGCTCCCTGGTAGCCAGGATGCCCCCCTTATACTTTGGATATATTATCAGGAAGGACTAGTCTCTGGAGAAGGATATCATGTTTGGTAAAGTGGAGGGTCGGAGAAAAACAGTAAGACCCCCAAGGAGATGGGTTGGCATATTGGTAAAAACGATGGATTTGTTGTGAGGTTGGCCTAGGACCCAACACAGTGTTTTGTTCTGTTATGCATAGGGTTGCTATGAGTTGGTAGCAACTCGATGGCACCTAACAACAACAACATTACAATCACAATGCTAGTTAAATCTTACTATAATAAGCACAATATATTACAGTTGACCACTCAATGATTAAGAAAAAATGCTGTATGCTGCTAATGATCTCTGAGTGAGGACAGCAGTTTACTCTCCAGTAAACTGCATATCATTGTTGTTGATAACTGCTCAGTTCCAACTCATAGCCACCCTGTATAGGGTTTCCAAGGAGCAGCTGGTGGGTTTGAACTGCCAGCCTTGTGATCCAGTACATTATCTGGTAGTATCTCTTCATATGTACATATATAAACTTTACTGGTTGTGCTTCTCTAGAGATTCTAGCCTAAGTCATTTGGTATCAGGAGTGATGCTAGAGACAAAATCGTACAGATAGGTTTTCTAAATTGGTTCTCAAATCTGACTAGTTTTAATGGCACTGACAACTCTGCTTCTATTAGTAAAGACAGTGCTGCTAATCATGGCATGAGGTGGCAATGTTAGCATGCAAAGTATCACCAGCTGTACATCAAATATTGGTGACAAGTGAGATTCTGGGTAATTGTGTGCTTGATACTTTTCTGACATCTATGCAGGATGAGAAATATAGGGAAGCAGTTTGGCTGGTCCAACTGACAACAGACCAAGTGGTAAAAAAGCGACCAACTCAGGGCATCCAAGTTATAGCTCAAGCAACATATAGTTACCACTTATGCCCTGAGCGAAGGCCTTATTTCTTGTAGTAACAGAGCTAATATTGCCCAAACCCAAACCCAGTGTCTTTTCATAACTGTGGCTGAATTACTACACCAACCAAGTTCCCAATTTCAAATAGCTTCTGGTGTTAAATTGAGGGCATTCATTCTGGTAGCGTAGTGGTTACGAATCAGGCTGCGAACCTTAAGGTCAGCGGTTCAAAACTACCAGCCGCTCCGCGGGAGAAAGATGAGGCTTTCTACTCCCATAAAGATTTACACCCTCGGAAACCCTGTACAGGGTCGCTATGGGTCGGACCCGACTCGATGGCACTTAACAACAACAACAACAATTAGGAAGAAATGGGATCCTGAAACTTAAGATGGGAACACAGTTGTTGTTAAGTGTGGTCAGTTGGTTTCGACTGATAGTTACCCTGTATGTGGTTTCCGAGGAGTGGCTCCTTAGTTTGAACCGCAGATAATCAAGAAGCTGGCGAGATAGAGCCTGTGAATTCCATTGAATCGCTCTTGCCAAAAGCCCTACCCCTCCCATCTGAAGATATTATTCCATTATCAGTAAAAACATTTTCTCTTCTGCCCACACGTGAGATCAGCCCAGCTGTGCCTGCTGAGATGATGCCTGAGGCATTGTTCTGGGGCATCACCTAAGAAGGCAGACGTCTTGCAAGACATTGCCAAATGTTCTCAGGAAACACCTCCATCATTTATTGTTTCTAGACCTATGTAACCAGATTTAAGTACCAGCAAGCCCAAAAGGTAAAGTATAGATTGTGAGGCAGGAAGAAATACGCTACATTCCAAAAGAACTGCTTGATTTTTCTAATATATATAAAAAGAAACCTAGGGAATATTATAGCAATGGTTATTAAGGGCGTGGAACAATGGTGCAAGGTACATAAAGATGGACCAGTCTGAGTTTATTGATGTTGTTAGGTACCATCAAGTCTATTCCAACTCATAGTGATCCCATGCACAACAGAATGAAGCACTGCCTGGTCCTGCACCATCCTCACAAATGTAATGTCTAAGCCCACTGCTGCAGCCACTCTGCCAATCCACCTTGTTAGGCATCTTCCTCCCTTTCGCTGACCCTCCACATGATCAAGCATTATGTCCTTCTCCAGGATCTGGTCCCTCCTGATAACATGTCCAAAGTATGAGCTTACTGATATGGGCCCAAGCCGGATTCAGAAGAGGACTTGGAATGAGGATACCATTGTCGATGTCTGATGGATCTTGGTTGAAAGCAGAGAATACCAGAAAGATGTTTACCTGTGCTTTATTGACTACGCAAAGGCTTTCGATTATGTGGACCAAGATAAGCTACGGAC